AGTGTTTATTCAAAGTATATAGATCACCTAGTTTCTAAAATGTATCCCACAACTGTCTGAATATTCCTGGGAACTAATAATAGTATTTCTAATAAGTGATCTAACATAATATAAATTACAGGGGGCTAAATGAAGACTTTCCTTGCATGTCTTCATATGCAGGCAAGCCATTTCATGGTGAAACGGGATAATTATTAATGGAATGATTTGCTGTCTGCTGATTCATATATTCGATATGTAACAAGAAAAATCAGACAAGAAAACAAACAATTTATAATTTAAAATAATACTTTGGCTGTTAAAACAAGGTACAAGCAGTCAGGAAATAAGGAGACACATTATACTGTGGAAATCTGCAGTTAGGAACCTTTGCAAATTATTGAGGAGTAGTGATGCCACTTTGAGGAATAAGGTGCATCTGATTCTGACTATAGTCTTTCAGATTACTAGCTATGCATCTGAGACCTGAACAATGAATAAGGATGACAGAGAAAAAAAATGATGCCTTTGAGATGTGGTGTTGGAGAAGAGCACTGAGCATCCCATGGATGGCCAAGAGAACAAACAGTTATGTCTTGGAGAGGGTGCAGTCGAAGTGATCTTTGGAGGCAAGAATGATAAGGCTCCGCCTCACATTTTTGGACCTATTGCTAAGAGGTGCTATTCCTTGGAGAAGGACATGATGTTTGGAAAGGTGAAGAGTCAATGAAGGAAAGGAAGACACTCAACCAGGTGAATTTACAAGGTGATTGCTGCTAGGCTCTTGTGTGTCAAGAAGTGTGACAGGACAGACTGGTTTCAGATCTTTTTGTTCATAGTGTTGTTATGAGTCATATTAGATTCAATGGCACCTAACAACAACAACAACAACAACAACAACATAATTAAAATGCAACTTTACAAGTAATAGTCATGCATTGATGGAAAAGAAATGAGAATACAATTCTTATACATTTAATTTATTCCTTAAAAGAGTGTATTAATTTGTATTGCACTTTTCTCAGTGCCATTGTAACATCTTTATTTCTTAAACTATAAATCAGAGGGTTAAATATTGGGGTTAGAATAGTGTAGAAAAGAGACAGGACTTTGTCAGTTCCCTCTGGATGGCTGGTCTCTGGTCTTAGGTATGAAATGATGCCTGTTCCAAAGAATAACATCACAGCCATCAGATGAGATGAGCACGTGGAGAAGGCTTTGGCACGACTTGTGGCTGTTGGCAGCTTCAGGATGGTGAAGATGATTTTACTATAGGAGGCAAGAATCAATAGAAATGGAACCACAACATATAATGATGCCCCTATAAATTCCACAATTTCATTTACAAACGTGTCCCCACAACTTAGTTTGAGTATGGGTGGAATGTCACAGAAGAAGTGGTTGATTTGGTTGGATCCACAGAAAGGGAGAGAGAAAATCTGATAAATCTGCCCAATCTGATAGGGAATTCCAGCAATCCAGGAGCCAGTCACCAGCCGGACACACAGCCGATAGTTCATGACGAGAGGATAGTGCAGAGGGTTACAGATGGCCACATAGCGGTCATAGGCCATCACTGCCAGGAGCAAACACTCCGCGCTTCCAAGCACAAAGAAGAAGTACATCTGTGTCGCACAGGCAACCAGGGAGATTCTTCTTCTCTGTGTAGCAAGATTCTTCAGCATTCTGGGGAGAGTGACGGATACATAGCAGATTTCAAGGAAGGAAAAGTTTGCTAGGAAAAAATACATCGGGCTTTGGAGGGCAGGATCGATTTTTGTTAGAAGAAATATAGTGCCATTGCTTATCACAATAATAACATAAATGATCAAAAATAATCCAAAAAGGAACCACTGGAGATGGGACAGCTCAGCAAAATCCAAGAGAACAAATTCCTTCAGTTTCGTTCTATTTTCTTTCAGTAATGTTTCTTGATCCATCTGCTGAAAACACAGTGTTTTTTTTTTTTATGTTACATTTCTCCACCTTCCTATGGGTCTTTGCCTCTTCTCTAAATTTAATCCAGATGCATTTTATTATGATTGTAATTGTACTTTAGAATGACACATTTTATATATTTTCCACATGCTGTTATTACATCAGAGAGCTCTGGTGGCCTAGGGGCAAGAACCTATACTGCAATCCCGAAGGCATAAGGTTCAAGGACACCAGCTGCTCCACAGGAGAAGGCCTCCTTCTGTGCAATTAGCTGCCTCAGAAAACCCACCAGAGGGTCAGCTATGAGCCAGCTCTGGTTCTATGGTACACAACAACAACAACAACAGTTATTACATCACAGTAGACACTCCTAGAAATGATATTTTAGTGTCTTTTCACTTTCACTGTATTCTGCTACACATTTTGAAATTATATTTACAATGTATTTCCTTGTGGTCTATTGAGAAATAAACTTTCATTGCTGAGCCTGGATAACTTTATGTGATACATTTCTTACTAGTTACCATCACTGTAGAGACGGACAACTGGAGATTAATCCTCATCTTCATCATCTAATGGAATCTTAAATTAATTTATAGCCTGACAATTATGTTGTACAACTTACTATTTAATGTGAGTATAGGTTTTGCATGGATACAATCAAGTGTTCTGGGATTCCCATTTTCCTCAAGTGTAGCCACAGTGCATTGAGATCATACAGTCAAATGTCTTTTCATAGTCAATGAAATACAGTTAGACATTTTTCTGGCACTCTTGGCTTTTCTGCCAAGATTCATCTGGTGTTGGTGATAATGTCTCTCGTGTCATGACTTCTTTTAAACCCAGTGTGTATTTCTGGTAGTTCCTGTCTCCCTACCTTTTTAATCCATATGCAGAACAGATTATTTGGGAGGCTGAGTTTTATGAGGAGAAATGTGGCATTAGGATTGGAGGCAGACTCCTCAACAACCCACGGTATGCAGATGAAACAACCTTTCTTGCTGAAACTGCATGTAGGTGTGTCAGAATCGTGAGACTGGCTCAGGACAGGACTTCAAGATGTTGTACATAGGGTCACTAGGAGTTGCAGGCAACTCAACCACACATAACAACATCAACAAATGATAATCTTTTACAATTTTCTATCTTATACTTTCTCCTGACATACTTTCAAATACTTATTTCAGTTCTTTCTTTTTTCATATCTTGTTAATTTTGAAGATATAAGGACCTATGACATAGCCAAAATACAATAATTTAGAAAGAAATTGAGGGAGTATTTCCCATTTTCATTCAGAAATAAAGGCTTGTTTTTCTGTGATATTGTTACTCTTATCTGCTTCAAATTGGAATCAATTCATGGGTGATCTTGAGTGGGTTTCCATATGATAGAAGTCACCTAAGAGGAGATAGCCCATCTTCCTGCCACAGAGCAGTTGAAGGGGTAAAACTGCCTGCCTTTGGATTGTCTGAGCAACTTTTGAACACAGAGCGTACTATTACTGTGTAATATAAGATTCTTTTATCCAGGCAAAGTAATCTGAGAACATTGATTCATATGTTAGCAATGTCTGTACTCATTCTGGAACAAGTATGGAGGCAATACATTACCTTTGTATATTTGTGCAGGATAAGAAGAGGAAAATATTGTTTATTACAGTGTAAACCTTGTACTGTGCCCATCTGCCATAATTTTCCACCCAAAACTGTCCTTCAGACAACAGTCTTTGAAATTCACTTTTAAAGGAAATTGAGATCTACTAAGTATGACTATTTGACAAGCTATTTTTAAGCTTTTTGACTGCTTATATATATATATGTCATTAAATGGACTTGTAGTTGTTCTCTTTCTCCCTAAATAACGATTGATTATTATTCAATAATTACTTAAAATCTCTTTCAAGTCTTTTATTCTTGTTCGTCAGAAGAAGTAAATAAGACAATATAAATGATCTATACCACTTGAGAAGAATGAGAATCCCAGAACACGTGATTGTACTTACATGAAAACTATACATGGACCAGGAGGCTGTCTTGAGAACAATGCAAGAAAAAAGTATGGAGTTCAAAACTGGAAAGAGTGTACACCAGGGATGTGTTCTATCTCCATACCTTTTCACTCTATATGCAGAACAGATCATCTGGAAGCCTCTGCTCTAATAGGAGGAATGTGACATCAGGATTGGAGTAAGACTCATCAGCTTCCTGTGTTATGCTGAAAGTGAGGAGAACCTGAAGTGCTTGCTATGGAAGGTCAAGGACTGCAGTTTTAATATGGATTGAAGCTGAATGCCAAGAAAACAAAGATTCTTACCACTCGTCCAATTGACAGTATTATGATGGATAGATAGATGGTGAAGAGATTGATATTGTTAAAGGTTTTAATATTCTTGACTCCACAATCAATGCTCTTGGTACCAGAAGCCAGGAAATAAAATAAAATAATAAAATAAATAAAATGTAAAAGAAAATAAAAGAAATAAAACAGTAAAATACTGGGGAAAGTCTGCTGTCAGGGACCTTTCCAGAGTACTGAAGGGCAATGATGTCAGTCTGGAGATTAAGGTGTGCCAGATCCAGGCCATTATTGTTGTTATGTGCCATCGAGTCGCTTGCGACTCATAGCAACCCTATGGACAAGAGCTCCAAATGCTGTTCTATCTTATGCCAACCTAGCCATCTCACAGGCACTTATTCCCACCGCTCCATTCACAGAATCGATCCATCTCACCAAAGGTCTTCCTCTCCTTCACTTCCCCTCCACTCTGCCAAACATGATGTCCCTTTCCAAGGACCAGTCCCTCCTTGCAACATGCCCAAAATATGTCAGATGAAGCTTCAGAATCCTTGACTCCAGGGAACCCTCTGGCTTCACCCTCTCCAGGACAAACCTGTTTGTTCTCCTAGCAGTCCATGGTATATTCAACACTCTTCTCCAGCACCACAGCTCAAAGGCATCAACTCTCCTTCTGTCATCCCTATTCACTGTCCAGCTCTCTGATGCATAGCACATAATTGGGAAGACTATAGCCCGGATCAGGCACACCTTATTCTCCAGCCTGACATCGTTGCTCTTCAGTACTCTTGAGAGGCCCCTCACAGCCGACTTTAACAATGCAATTCATCTCCTGATTTCCTGGCTGCTGTTACCAAGAGCATTGACTGTGGAGCCAAGTAAATTAAAACTGTTAACTATCTCAATCTCCTCACCATCCATGCTGATGCTGCCAGTTGGCCCAGTGGTTAGAATCTTTGTTTTCTTGACATTTAGCTTCAGTCCATATAGGAGGCTGTAGTCCTTGATCTTCTGTAGCAAGCGCTTCAGGTCCTCCTCAGTTTCAGCAAGCAGGGTTGTGTCATCTGCATAACACAGGTTGTTGATGATTCTTCCACCAATCCTGATGCCATATTCCTCTTCGTATAGCCCAGCGTCTCGGATGATCTGTTCTGCATACAGATTGGAAAGGTATGGAGACAAAATACATCCCTGATAGACCGCCTTCTTGATTTTGAACCACGTAGTGTCTCCCTGCTCTGTTGTGACGACTGCCTCCTGGTCTGAGTATAGATTTCACATTAGCACAATCAAATGTTCTGGGATTCCCATTCCTCTTAGAGTCAGCAACAGGTTGTTGTGATCCACACAGTCAAAAGCCTTTGCATAGTCAATGAAGCACAGATAGACATTCTTCTTGTATTCTTTGCTTTCTGCCAAGATCCATCTGACATTAGCTATAATATCACTAGTACCATGACCTCTTCTAAATCCAGCCTGCACAACTGGCAGTTCTCTGTTGACATATTGTTGCAAACGTTTTTAGATAATTTTCAGCAGAATCTTGCTTGCATGTGATATCAATGATATTGTTCGATAATTTCCACACTCTGCTGGGTCACCTTTCTTTGGAATGGGAACAAATATTGATCTTTTCCAGTCAAAGGGCCAGCTGGCTGTTCTCCAAATAGTCTTTTCAATTACTTGCTATGTATCAGAAAGCTGGACAATGAATAGGGATGATAGAAAGAGAATTGATGCCTTTGACCTGTGATGCTGGAGAAGAGTATTGAATTTATCATGGACTGCTAGGCTAACAATTAGGTTCATCCTGGAGAGGGTGAAACCAGGTTCCTCCTTGGAGGCAAGATTCTGAGGCTTCATCTGACATGTTGCAAGGAGGGACCAGTCCTTGGAAAGGGATATCATACATGGAGGGACAGTCCAAGAAAGGAAGACCCTTGATTGAGATGGATTGTTTCAGTGACTGGAGTAATGGGGGCAAGTGTGTCAGAGACAGTCAGTTTGGCACAGGATAGAGCAGGTGTCAGGACTATTGTACATAGGGTCACTATGAGTCGCAAGCTACTGAACAGCACAAAACAACAGACAATAACATACCCTATACATTCCAAGTTTGAACAAATTATTTAGAATTTATGATTCAATAGTTATGATTATTCCTGTATGTTTTTTAAAAACTACTGACAGAAGGTTTAATATTTTCTCAATATAAGAGATATTCGAAGATGTTGGCAATTGATTTTTCAGCTATTGTTTTCTTTATCATAGGCAAGCTATTAAGGTTCAAAACTGAAAGAATTCATGCATATTCATGCAACCGCATAATTCTGAAAGATCCTTCTTGCATTTGAATGCACAGTGGTAATTGCCTCACTCCACTTTTCATCTCTCCATATTATTGTATTTGCCCTTAACTATTCACTAAGTAATAATGGTCAATGACTTCATCTTACTTGGATTCCCATTAAATGCTTGGCACCAGCAGGCAGAAGATCAGGAGACACTTAATACTGAGAAACTGTGTAGTCAGAGGCCTCTCCAAATTACGGAAAGAGCACTCATTTTAGTTAAAGTACTAAATTACACCCAATTCAGACCATGGTCTTCTCAATCCGTTCTTATACATCTGACTGTCAGACTATGAATAAGGATAAAAGAAGAAGTAATGTCTTTGAGTTGTGGTGTTGGGTCAGAGTGCTGAAT